GACCGCAGATGATATGATATGGCTGTGTGAATGGTCTAAGTAGAGTCTCACTGTGTGAAAATCACATATCAGATTGATCAGTAAATGCAGAGATATTAGCAGGGGAAATTACATGCAAACCCCATCAAAAGTTGAGCTTATACCCATCCATTTTTCACATTCTGAGCTTCAGTATTGATCACTTAATATAATGGGTGGATTCACTGACCAATATGGAGGCTTAGGGGCAAGAGTGGTAAGGGACAATCTTGTCTTTTAGAGCAAATTTGGCAACTGCATTTAACTTTAGCTACATATTTTATATATCCTCATCTACTGATCTTTTGACTTGGGATTGTTTTATTAAAGGAAACCTCTGCTTATGTATTTTTAATGACAGCTTTGGTTTGGACAGCAGTTTTAATTGTGTAGTATATCTAATCTTACGAAGAAGTATATTAGTTGTGTTTTGTTCTTCCAGTAATGAAGGTTTCAGTGTATCTATGTGATGTACTCTAGTAGTGTGTCTCCATGCTGGTTACCATGGCAGTGCTAGAGGCAAGCACTGTGAAAGAGTTAGGCATTACATACTCAACTGTCACACAGCTGTCATATAAGTTGTTTGGGATATTTGTCTGCTGTAGAATAGAGAGTCATTTGGAGAGAGTCATTTCTCTAACTGGGAAAAAGACAGCAATAAAAACCTGAAAAGTATTCTAATCCCTCTTTACTCTATCCAAAAGAAAAACTTTTAACAAAGTTTTTCTTTTGGATAGAGTAAAGAGGGATTAGAATACTTTTCAGGTTTTTATTGCTGTCTTTTTCCCAGTTAGAGATTTACCCTTTCTATTCATCCTGGTGACCATTGGCACAAGAGTGAAAGAAAATCACAAAATATGAGTTGTCACCAGAAAAGGAATAGAGGCAGGGCCGGATTTTCCACAAGGCCAACCGAGGTCTGTAGAGTGACAGCAGGGGTGTGGAATTCCTATCTTCCGATGCCCGGGACATGCAGTTCCGGGCGCCGGGCGGGTAGTTGTTTTCTACATTTAGCCCTGCTTTGGGCAAGCAGAGCTAAATGTACAGCGGGGAAGCCATAGCTTGCATTGTACAAGTCAACTCAGTGATGTCGCCGAGAGCACTTGTATGCAGCCTGCAGGTAGGGGGGTGCATTGATGAACCTGGCTTTGGAGCAGCAGAGAGAGTAAATCTGGCCCTGAATAGAGGGGAAAGGTAGTGAAGAGTAATCTCCCCAACGGGACGCAGATGGCATAAAGAATCTGATGGGTTATAACCCTCCCTTACTCTAAACAAAATAAAAACAAGCTTTGGCTATAGTTCCACTTTAACATCAACTTCAAAAATACTTAAACTGTTTGTTTTCTGCAAACATCTGCTCTGCAGCTTCTGGTTATTTATAAGTTACATGTCCACTTTACTGACTATCACTAATGTACATTGATTTCTGTTGTTCCGATAGGATCCAATATGCATTATGTGCAAAGTAGGCAAAATTCTCTCCACCTTTAGTGGAGTGGCTACTAGAAATTTAGTGATAGCCAGAGCTGTAGTCAGTCTGGCTAAATTATAGTTGCCATTTATCTGGTTAATTCCAGGTGTTTTGCCATTGATTGTACCTGCCTGAGTGGAGTGTGACTGCAGTGTGGGCTAACCAAGGTACTTGTACCTTTTTTCTGCGATACATGACATGCGGCTGTTTTAGCACGGGCAGAATCGCTGCGGGAAACCGTGCGATCCGCCACGTGCGACTGGGATGTCATTGGAAAATAATGGCACCCACAGCGCGACCAGTGCACACCTGGGCGACTCTTGACCGCGCAGCAATCCACGCGGAATTGTGCACGATTGCCACGTGGTGTGGTGTCGTCTAGGTGTGCACCGGCCCTGTGTGTGTGTGTAGTGCACCAGGCAATCACTGTGGTTCCCATGGCCAGTGGTGCATGCCGGGAAAGGTCACATATACTCATGGTAATTGGCATGAGCTCTGTTTGGTCCAGCCTGGGATAGCACAGAGTCCAGTCAGGGCTGGGTGCTGTCCAGCCTGCCCCCGGGAATACTCTAGTGTAGGAAATGTTTCGCTCGGCCTAAAGTCTGGAGGAGGCCCCTGCTACTGATGGAGGAGGAGAACCAGGGAAGATGATGGTTGCTGGAAGTGCCTGGAATGGAATGGACCTCAGGAGCAAGTCTGGTGTCTTTCTTATTGAAGATTCAACATCACTCTTCGTTTAACTGTGCTCTTCTACCCAGTGTCAGCGTGTGCTCTTATTGAATCTGCACTGGAATTCTGAAAGGGTCTGGTGAGTCTGGAGTCTGTGTGTTTTTATCATGAATGTTCTAAGTTCTTGAGCATCATACTTCTGGCCTGGATCTCAACTATGTTGGTCACTAGAAAAGGGTGGTTAATGCTAGTGGGGCAGCTGGTTACCAAAATCCCCTGGACAGGCTATTGATGACCTGAGTATTCCAGCGGGCCCTTCGGGGGTGAGTGCTACAAATGGAAATAAGTATAATGGCACAGATAGAATCTATGACTATTTTTTCTGTTGACTTGCCATGAACAGAAATCAGTACTTATTTGAAAGTTATTGTCCATGGGCTAAATTAAAGTTGAACTCTAGGCAAATATAAAAGAACATTTAGTTCAACTATACAGTATATTGCTTACAAAAACACAGTGTATGCTAACAAGAAGGAGATTTTGAGGCATTTGAAAAGCCTATGTAAAGAACCCCTCCAGGAGAGAGAATGTCTGAACACCTAAAAATGAATAGTAAACTTTTGACCCTTTGGGCCTCTATAGGTTCAGGCTGATAGCTTTGGTCTGCCTAAAAATCATCATAGGAGTGACGTCACTACAGTAGTACACAATACCAATAGTAAGACTTTCAGGTAAAGGTCTTTTCGAAACATATACAAAAGGCCTTTTAAGTAATGCTGTTGCTATATGGCAGGCCTGTGGATGAATGCCCTTAAGGGTAGGTGTTTTGGTTTAATGAGGCATTAACAGCCTACCATAAAAAATTACATCACCCAGAAGTCCTTTCTATATACAGTATGGAAGGGGTTATCTGCATTACACAAACCAATTATATATAGATATATTATTTAATTTGAAAATATGATAATTAGGTATTTGCCCTGTGTTTACCCAGCTTGCATGTATATGAGCCCAAAGGTTTTAGTTTGTTTCAGGCTTACTTAAATGTAATCTGCACATGTAATTAGCTATATGTCTTAATTTCTTTACCAGACAGGAAAATGTTTATCATAATAAAATTGATGTGTTTAAATTACATGTGTGGCATGTAAAGCACAAGGGGATATAGTTTAAAGGTCTTTTTTTAAACTGCTTGACATTTGGAACAAACTTCCATACATTCTGTAATTTATTACAACTCATTACAGTAAAGGAAAATAAAAATTTACTACAGTAAAGAAATATAATTGTTTAGTAAAATGCACAAATATACAGATACAAGTTTTCACTGCATTTATTTAAACACCAGCACACCAGTTCCAGCTGTCATATCCCTTAGGGTTCAAGTTTATCTGTGCTCTGTTCCATTTAACACCAGGTAAGCGGTAGTTAGATGGCCTTGTAGAGTCACATAAACTCTGCTTGAAAGGTGCCAGAAGCATACATAAGCATTCAGAATAGACACTAAAAGAAAGTAAAATAATTTGCCCTATGGCATTTTGTCAATGATCAAATCAACAGTCCCTCTAAGCTCCACTGCAACTTTTCCAGTGGAGTTCAACAAACTTATCTGAAGATCCTACCGATTTGCTCAAACAAAACACAGGCAAGGAATACTCCAATGAACTTGAAAGTAGGGAATGCAGTTGATTTAACAGTTAAAACATTTGGCTTATACTCCTAGGATTCCTCAGTATCATATTCCACAATACATGGTACCTAATAGTTCAGCATTTTGTCTTTCCAGGGTAAAATGTCTACACATATTGGACAATTAAAAAAAAAACAATGAAGATGTATGAGATTACATAGTCAATTAACTGGGTTCAAAATTTGTGAAGATTTACATTTGGCAGATATCTAAAATGAGTTCATCTGCTGGGCAATCCACAATATTTTTTTACACCTGTTTGACGTTTGTGAAAAAAAATTACTCCACCAAAGCAATATCAACCTGACCCTCTAAGTAGAAGAGCCAAAATCTTGCTGCTATCCTGCTATTTAAATGTCAACCCTCATACATTTCAGGACTAGAAGGATGCTTCAAACATGAGGCTGTTGTACTGAAGTGTACTAGCAGTCTCAAAAAGGCTAGTGTAAAGGGGGTCTATGTACTGTCTATCTTAAAAAAAACCTTAAAGTTGAACTCCAGGCACAAAAACTTTCATTTAATATAGTTCTCAATGTTCGGAAAGAATAAAAATCCACTTTGTGTGCAGCAAATGCATTAAAATAAAAAACTCAGTTATTGCTTTGTAAAGGTACTCATGTTATTATATTTGAGGTGTTTATAGCCTGCGCAGAGAGCAGAGCTTGGGAGGGACCAGCAGGCCCCACCTACTACAAGACCAGCCACCCTGCCAAGCAGAGAGAGCAGCAGTGACAAACCTTTATTAATGGAAGCACAGAAGCAATGTTGTACACTGGATTACTGCACAGATCTGGAAGAAATACATAAAGCACACCAAGATTCAAATAACTATTCACATGCCTCTTGTATTTAGACAATATTTGTTTTTTCCCTAATTCAGCTTTAATGCCACCTTCCATTTACTATTTATTTTATAAAGATTTGAAAATAAATCAAATGGTATTCCATTTTGTTTGTCCTCCTCATTAAATCCAGGTTATGTTTTTACATCATCATTGGTCTTTGCAATATTTTGTTGTATGAGCTATATGTTATTAATATGTGCATGACATAAGTTGATTTATTAAACACAAGGATTATCTTTCAGAATGTGTACAGTATATGCAGCTATGTTCTGAATGTATTTTTAGTAAGATGAGTGTTTTTTATTACCTGTCACTATAGGGTATGACTGTGGTCCAGGAACAGCTCCCCCTAAATCTCCTGAAGAAGGACTCGTTAGACTGGATTTCATCTCATCCAAGCCACCAGTTAGAGACGCCATGGTTGAATAGTCTGTTGTCTACAAAGAAAATATGAAATAAGATATATTCAGTTTTCTTTTTAAAGAAGAACAGATTATAATGTTTATTTGATAAGGAAAAGAGCAATATTTAAGCTTTTGCAATATATACAAATTCATCAGAGAAACCAGCCTGTTTCCTCACTAAAGGCCTGTGTTGATAGTCATCAGTTTAAAGGTGATTCAGACATCATTCAAAATCCATTTACAGGTACATATGACCTGCAGTTAACCTACTCTTGATGTGCATTTGACCTACCTCAAGCAGGTTTTGCATTAACATAGACTTGTATGGGAATGCAAAACCCACTTGAAGCAAATAAAAGCCCATTGACACAGGCCCTAAAAGTAATTAAGGAAGCTAGAAATCTAGTTTTACATGTTTGCAAATGGATGCCCTAACACCCCAGTCCCATGGGCCTCATCCTTACTCTATACACATAAGCAGGCCAGAAGGTTTCCAATTCCTAGGTCAGACAAACTGCTCATGAGTGACTGAATGCATGAAAATGTCGAGCCCACTGGAGTTAATTAGATAGCATAGGTCTGAACACCTGGATATTTAATGTTGAATCCACAATCACTATCAAAAGCAAAATTCTGGGTTAAGCATGCAGAGCAGAGGGGAATCTGTAAACTCCTGTTCACTAGTCTCCTCTTGTAGCAAATTAACCTTGAAAAGTCCAGTCTTGTGCATGTTTGAGTTCATGCTTCATGTTCCGATCTCAGTAAACAGTTGATTCTTAATGGTCAGTAGCTCAGAAAAGACTGATGACGGTAGGTCAGGATAACAGGATAACATAAACATACAACAAGTAGTATCTTTAGAAACTGGTCAGCAATGGCAGCCCTCATACCTATTTAATCACAGTTTTACTTTAAGTATAAAAGAAGAGACCACAGACTTTACTTGCTACCAATTTTTGTTATACATGTTACCAAATTACCTAACATTCTCAATTATTAGTTAAATGCCAACAGCTTTATAATGTTGCATTTTACCAGAGGTTGCACATAACCTGTCTTTAATAAACAGTTAATTTGATTTACTATATTACAAACAGTGCCACTCTCCATCAGGCTGACTTTACTTACAAATTGAAAAAAAAAGTGTTGTTCTTTAAAATAATGTATCTTGAACCTATATTATACTGAAATGTGACCTGCAGTGGGCCCATAGGACACATAATATACACTCTATATACTTAATATCTGCAGAGTAAAGGGATATATGGAAGTGCTGAAAGATCGTCAGTCCAAATTTTTATTGCACAATGGAATTCCTTGCATGGGAAGGTATGAATTAGTAATTAGCCCAGCAAAATAGAAACCTTTAATCCCAAAGGGAGGTGTTACAGACTACATAGCAACTAAAATGCTGTCTGCCAATCTCAAATTAATTTAATTCAATTAAACATTTTTAATAATATAAGAAACTAAAACCCAAGAGCACCTTTGTGTGCCTCAGATTTCTCACCTTCACTATTAAACACCTTAATATACTGAACAAAGAGTACCACCACTTACAGACTTATATGAAGAAAAAATATATTAAAAAAAGAATAATTTAGAATATAAAAAA